TAAGGTTTTTTCAGATGCTGAACATTTTTTTACTTATTACATAAGACACCAATTATCTAGGCCATTTTTGAGAAATAGAGAAAATAGGTGAAATCACCCTAGGGCAAATTAGAGACTATATCTGATTTTAAATTATAGAAATAAACACTCGCAAATGAACCATCGCAAACATTATATACTCTGCAGGGGAGATCAAGGGACTAATTCATTGGAACATGAACTGGTGTAGATGTTGGCAAACTATAAGAGCTTTATATTAAGAACTTGCAGACAACTTCTTGGTTGTTCGTACCCCACTAAGGAGATAATATATTCAGGAATCTCGAAAACAAAATTGGAAAAGCAATAATGTAATCTTCAGAAACTGGAGAGAATTCAAATTGAGGCTGATTATTTGATGCATGCTTTTCTAACATTTATAATCAAAGCCAAATTAATTCAAGTAAATAGCATAAGTCGAAAATATTAAAATATTTTTCATTCGCACCTTCATCAATCGTATCAAATAATCGATCCAACAGGAAATTTAATGATCCAATTAATCTTAATGAAATTGACTTCCAATGAGCAAATGAGTTGGTTTTGCCACCTGTATTTATTATACTCGCAAGACAATTAGCAGCAGATTGGACAACAGATGATCCATGATCAAAAGTTCCATCCAGGACACTAAGACACAATTTTTGTGTATTTCAAAAAATGGACGAAATGGTTGGAAACTGCATGTATGACTGGGATAATGCATCAAATATTGTGGGCTGTAAGGAAGAAATTAAAAAGTTAAAGTGATGTGACTACATAAAATTTTTTTAGTTAACAGATACTATTTACCAAAAGTTCTTTATTTTCAGATAGATTTAAGAGAGTTGTATTAAAACAAGGAACTTGGTGTGAAGTTACCTCCCTTTGTAATTCTGGTTTGTTAATTGTTTTTCCAAACATATTAGAAAGTGTCAAAATGACATTGGACAAAATAAGAGTTGATTCTGGTTGCTGAGAATAACATGGAGATTAATAACTGAATAAAGAACAGAGGTCTTTTCTTTCAACAATAACTAACCATGAGCAAAGTTAATAAAGCAGAGGACCATGGTTGTAAGTTCTGAGTAAACAGTGTCTCAGATTGTTGAAAAGAAATTTTCACAAAAGAAACCCTAGCCTATTTTGCACCACTAACTTTGGACTGCAGCAAGGAATTAATACATGTATACCATTTATAAATTGGATCTTGTTCTGCCAAGCTGATTTCTTGATTTGTATTATTAGCTTTCTTTGTAACCAGTAACTGATAGTGTGTTATAGTTTCAAGAATAAAAGGTACAAAAGAATCAACAGTATTATCATTTAAAATATAATTCACGACTAGCGAATTTAAAAGTTCTTCTGATCTAACATGTTAATAGTGTTGATAATCTTTTTTTAATACGTATCGGTATATCGATAGTTTTGCAATTTTGGAATATTAAAAATTGTGATGTACGTACATCTCTGATAATACTAAGATCAGCAAAATATAAACAGTATGAAACATGAACAACGTAGAACATGAACATGATTCATGTCCTCTATATCATATTTGGGGTGTCTTCAATTAAAAGGGCCCATTTTTACAATTTTTCAAAAAATGAGTTTTTGTTAGATTCATATAAAATTT